TTTACACACACATATAATCTGTGGACACGAAAAAGGTAATAATATACGATTGTAACAATTTTATCAAGAACACAACTATAAAGCAAAATTTTTTCCAATTTATATAGTACGCGGACTTGGCTTTGAGCCAAGAACATAAATTAAGCTGACAATTTTAAGAAAGCACGAGACAAACTAATACGTTCAAATGCAAAAGTTGATTTGAAATAAAGAAGTCGGCCAATTGTATAATTTTGTGCACATTGTTTTTCCTGTATAACTAGGATGATGGGATAGTTTGCTACAACCGTACATCTACCTTATTGAGCTTGTAATACTTGTTCCATATTATTTCTAAATTTTTGTTTTCAGAAGATTAACTAAAGCCTCTTCCATGTTTATTTATATATATATATATATATATATATCCCTGTTAGTAAAAATATTTAGATTTAAGGTTAGTGAAGTTGCAAAATAATAATAAAAAAATATTTGTTTAAGCCTAACAAGTTTCAAGACCTTTTTTACATATTGTTGAATGCTACTTTAATTTTCGTTTCTCTCAAAATGTATACAAGTTTCTTTATCTTTTACCGCGCCCATACTCCCTTTCTTAACATTTTGTTTGATTTGGTTTACCAATGAATGACTGTTTTTGTTGTACATATATTTCCTCCCAACGATGCAGTGTCTCAGCTGCATCACATCCATCACTCATCCCAGTTTTCCTGTACGTTTCACGTATCTCCACTTAACATTTTTGTTTGATTTGGTTTACCAATGAATGACTGTTTTTGTTGTACATATATTTCCTCCCAACGATGCAGTGTCTCAGCTGCATCACATCCATCACTCATCCCAGTTTTCCTGTACGTTTCACGTATCTCCACTTTTATTATTTTTACTGAACAAATTCTTTACATACTTCATGATACAGAACCTTAACGATCATTAGAAGGATCCCCATAGGATAGATAATATTAGCATTACCAGAATATTTTCTATGTTGTATTTATACCGTTAGAACCAAGACACATTGGGATGTCCAAAGTGTTTGGACTCTCCTTCGTTGAAACTGATATTTATTATTTGCTTTTGTTGTTTTTCGCTTTATATCATCTTTATATTTTATCGTCATACATATTCTGTATTTTTGATACAGTAGAACATATAATACGGAGATTTCACATTTTCCATTATATCTGATTTCAAGAATAATGCTTTTCGAATCGTATGATCTGCTCGTGAACGTAGTTATTAATAATAAGTAATATAATATCTCTGTGAGGAAGACAATAACAAACATCTACATTTTAGTTGGTGAGAAAGACGAGATATTTGCATTCATGAATCTACTTCCTTCTTCGGAAAAACATGTAATAAAATAATTATATATAAATAACAAGAGTAAAGATTCATAAGAGCATCTTGAAAACGTATGACAGAAGAACACCTAGCATATTAGTCGAACAAAACATCTACACTGATAGTAGTTCAAAGAAATCTGGAATCCCTTACTCGCTAAGAAACACTCCAGCCGCTGTATCCACCCATCAAACCATTCCAACCCTTTCCCTCTTTAACATGCACTGCCCCCTTTCATTTTCAGTGAAAAGCTAGTGTTTGTTTACGTCGTTTGTTAAGAATACTTTCTTATTTTCACCCCCTCCTCTCTTCTTCTTTTCCCCTTTTCGTACCCCAAGTAAAACGTGGGATTACAGAGAGAACGATGAGAAAAATTAGCCATAACACTAAACCTAACATGGGATTACAGATAGAATAATGAGAAAAATTAACCATAACACTGAGCCTAACATGGGATTACAGATAGAATAATGAGAAAAATTAACCATAACACTAAATCTAATATGGGATTACAGATAGAATAATGAGAAAATTAACCATAACACTGAGCCTAACATGGGATTACAGATAGAATAATGAGAAAAATTAACCATAACACTGAGCCTAACATGGGATTACAGATAGAATAATGAGAAAAATTAACCATAACACTGAGCCTAACATGGGATTACAGATAGAATAAGCAGAAAAATTAACCATAACACTGAGCCCTCTGAAACCCAAATCATTTATAGCTTTTCTTACATAGACTCATAGTAACTGACTTATTTTAGAAAATATAATACCTATTGTAAATAGCAATAATTCTCTTGATAGTCTCTTACTATTAGTGGTTTTAGGTACAGAGTAGATATAGAACGTAAGATTGTAAAAGCGCGAAATTTAATCGGCGAAAAATAAAATTCGTTGCAGTGAAGTGTATAAAATTAAATCGCCCTAAAGGAAACAGTAACTGGGATTATGCACAGTAAGGAAACAGAAATGGGATTATACAAAGTAAGGAAACAGTAACTGGGATTATACACAGTACAAGGAAATAGTAAATAAAAAACATAGGTAACATAACAAAGGTAATTATACGTGTTCCAAAAACAATAAAGCAGGGGTAAAATAGACAAAAATATGTCGTCCTTTTATTTTTTACTCCCTGTTTTCGTAAAAGATTTTGTAAATACACATGTGTGCAGAGATAGTTCATTGTGTAGCTTTGCGCTAACAATCTATTCAACGATCTTCTTGTAACACAACACAACCAACAGATATTACCTAAATAACGAACCCGTGGGCCACTATTATGCAAATTTAATGCTTGGACTAGTATTTTTCACTTTTTCAGTTTAATGATCATTGCCGCTATAATGCAAATTTAATTTCTTTAACAAAGTTACGAACGGTAATTAGTAGTGGTCCTACTTATTTACTTGCTCTAATGTACATCAATGGCAAATTTGGGATCTACGTTCAGGAAATCCCAGTAAAAGTGTTTTCGCGAAATACCCGGGTTCCCTAAGGAGTTAAGTGAAAAGTTTTACCTTTTTGCAAACCTCGGATCGAGACTATTCGTTTTGTACAATTTTGAAGTAGTTGCTATGTCCAGCAGTTTAGGAGTAAGGATTTTCGGTAAATTCCCGGGTTCACCAAGGGGTGAAATGAAAAATTTTACCTTTGTGTAAACCTCGGGACCGAGACGATTCGTTTGATAACATTTAGAAGTTGATACAACCAGCGGTTTAGGAGGAGTTACGTGGCACACACACACACATGAATACTGAATCTTATTATACGACCAGCGGTTTAGGAGGAGTTACGTGACACACACACATGAATACTGAATCTTATTATACAGATAATGACATAATAAAAAAAATGTTAGAATGTATGGTAAGTGTACAATACTCTAAGACCTTAAATGATTACTTAGCATTGCTGCCGTAAAAAATCAAGAAAATAAGAAAGCAAACAGTAATTATATCTAAAATCATTAAAACTCGGTTAGAAATTTTATTTCCTTAATTTGACTATTCACCATAAATTTCACCTCCTTAATTGAAGAAAAAAGTTATCAAGATTACGTTTATGTGATTAAAATTCCTTTACACATTTATATTAACACAATTAAGTTAACTAACAATATCGTTTCAATCTTGTTATTGAAAGAGTTTTGATATTTCATCAAGTGAGTAAGGCAGAACGAGGCATAATGAACTATGAATGTAGTTCATTAGACCTATGTTCGAGTATTCTGTTTTTAAAACACTGATAGTTTTAAACTATAGCAAATTAATAGTTCTTTATTTGTTTGTTTGTTTTGAATTTCGCGCAAAGCTACACGAGGTCTATCTGCGATAGCCGTCCCTAATTTAGTAGTGTAAGACTACAGGGAAGGCAACTAGTCATCACCACCCACCGCCAACTCTTGGGCTACTCTTTTACCATCGAATAGTGGGATTGACTGTCCTATTATAACGCCCCCACTGCTGAAAGAGCGAGCATGTTTAGTGGGACGAGGATTCGAACCCGGGACCCTCAGATTGCGAGTCAAGCCCTCTAACCACCTGGACATGCCGGGCATAATCGTTCTTTGTATAAGTGGATATCAAATCCTTGAAAAACAACTATTATATTAATAATCCTTGATAAATTATTAGATTAAATTCGGATTGTTGGATCTACCATTTTTTATGTTATTTAAATATGGTGTTAACAATAGTAAAACCATCATTATCGTTGGCTGCGAGTGAAGATTTCAGTTTAGATGTTTGAAAAGAATTGGACCCACACACACTTGAATTTATATATGTAAAAAGAAAACCGCGTTCAAAACTAATGATGTTTACCGTTTACGGCGACATATGTGAGAAGTTAATGTCAAAGAGAAATTTGTATTTTGTAAAAACATTCTGATTTTAGTGAACCTTTCGTATATAGAAAAATATTATTACACGAGCTGGTGTTAACAGGTGAAATAGCTGCACATGGAGGTTGGTCGGCACCGGGTTTTAGGTCTTTGTGGACCTGGGAGGTGCACATGGAGTACGACAAATAGTGATTGAGCTCGAATTTCGCGCGTCAGGCTTTCTGGTATGGGACGGAGCGGAGCGCGAGACAAGGACCAAAGGTTTGTATAGAACAGGTTCCGCGTGGCTCGAGCTTCCGCAACTTTACCTGGTTGGTTCAACGACCGGCCAGGTAAACACAGCGGCACACAGAGGTTTCCTCAGTTGTGCTCCTGCAGCCGGTGGAGAAAGTTCTCTCTGCCCCACTCCTGCGGTCCGCAACACACTTTCAGACTGTGGTGCCACTGTTCATAGTTAGGTACTCTGGTGTCACAAGTGATGTTGAAATATTCTAGCAAAGAAATCTCATATACCAAAAACTTATTAGAACTCTAGATTTACAGCCCTTACCAACTATTAGGACGAGGTGATACTGAAACACTGAGTGGAAGAACGTTTATCCTCAGGAGCATCTCAGCATCTTCCAGAAAGCATGCGTTTTCACAGAAGAAACATAAAACCACAGACTATATCCTGACATAAGCACAACAGACCAAAGCGTTAGTATTGATATTTTTCTTTTAAGTTGTATTTGGACCCAGTGCTGATTTCTTGGGCTTTCGACGTTACCAACGTCAACAAGTAAACGAAAGGATCTCGATGGAGGTTTTTAAGCAACTGGATCCATCTTGTGGGGTTTTAACCCCTGTTTCGTCAACTGTTACATCAACAGCTGAAACACCTAAAATGACTGATCTCGGCTTTGATGAGAATTCCGATTTTGGAATTCGCTTCTTCGAATCTCCAGCCATAAAAAAAGAAGGCTATGAGGATAAACACCCGAGTTATTATGAACCTCCGGCATCCATGCCAGCTGAGTCGGGATTTGGAGCTAAAGACTATACTGAGTTGCCTCCTTATCCTAATCCTGAATCTGCCATCGGCACTGGCTTACTGGAGAGCTCATCTGTGGGGTGCAGTACCCTTGGATTGGACCCCAGTCCTCCCACCGCGAGTGTTTTGTATGAACAGAAACCCCCTTTGCCTGAAAGTTCAAGTATTGCCACTCTCTCCAAGCTTCCCCATGGAAAGACTTCAAATAAATATGGCGGTTCTGGTGAGTACAGATTATAGATTTACTTCAATAGCGAATATTAATTTTGGGCAATAAAAAACAAAAACAAATATATTAAACAAAGGTATTGTTAACGACACTAATTTTGAAATCTAAATAAAAAAAGAACTTTTTTTCATGTACCATTCACGTTCGCGTTATTATTATTATTTTTAAATATTAAAATCAGAAGTAGGAAGTAAAAAAGTATTCTTCCTCCACTAAAGCAGGGCCGAGGGACCACGGGACTACATGCGGTCATTGTCCTCTTAGCCAACTTTCTCTTTCTGTAACAGTGACATTAAACTGAAGTTGGCGATATTATATAGGCATCTCAAAAAAAAAAATTCTTGTTCATGATACTTAAGTAGGTAGCAATAAGTTTTTGTGGTAATAAAGGTCTTGGAATTTCTCATTGTACAGACACTGTTTTCACACACCAGCCAGTAAATATGTTCAAGCCTTGTTGATCCTCGTAAACGACTGTAGGGAAGATGGAAATATAGAATTTGGGCCAAGTTCACGGGCATGTGCTCAAGGTGAATGACCGCTGACTAAATGAAACCTGCCTGACTTGATGTCGTTGCCATGTAACGCCAAGAACGGCGCCATGCATAGCGATATTGAAAACTCTTAAATATTACCTGTAAAAGTTAATTTCCCAGTTAAGCTAATATTTTTTAATATTAATTAATAAGTTATATCGGTGAGTCAATTAGACAAAAAAAAAACAATGTTCTCAAGCTCATTACGTTTTTACATGAAATAGTGGATTTCTAGTGTTATGTTGAGGTCATTGAACTCTGGAATAGGGAAGTCACTCTACAAAGGCGAGATTGTACTCTAACGTATTAGAAACTTTGGTTTCAAAGTATGAAGTACAACAAGTGGTAAGATTCATTTTGTTTAGGTATCTTTCATCGACAACTAACTACAATAATTTATTTACGAAAACAAAGATTCTTCTCGTCATTTTAGATAACCAATTCAGATCCATTTGCAATTTAATGGCATCATAAGTTCTGCTGATGGCTATGAATTTGTGTTTTGTTTGAGATGTTTGACCGTTCAAAATATCACAAAATTGCGTACATTTTAGTTTTCAGTTTCTTAAGCTAAATTTCATCATATGATTTGATACTTATTAATAGGAGGGAAAATAGAAACCAAGGTCAACGAACCCAAAAGCCCACACTGCAACAGAATGGGAGTAATTACCAAATAGCCCGTGAAGCTACTACAAACTCCAGCGCCTCTAGTGGGCTTCTTATGTGAACATTACTTACAAAAGTATAAATTCAAACTCCAGCGCCTCTAGTGAGTTTCTTATGTGAGCATTATTTACTAAAAGTATAAATACAAACTCCAGCGCCTCTAGTGGGTTTCGTATGTGAGCATTACTTACAAAAGTATAAATTCAAACTCCAACGCCTCTAGTGGATTTCTTATGTGAGCATTACTTACAAAAGTATAAATACAAACTTCAGCGCCTCTAGTGGGTTTCTTATGTGAGCATTACTTACAAAAATCTAAAAAGCAAACAAACCATATTTCTTTCTTATTTTGTTTGTTTTCGTTTATGCATGAAGGTGTACAATGGGGGTTGCTCACCGAAGGGATCGAACCCTCAATTTATGGCTGAGCCATCGTGGAACTTCATATGATGACTTTCATCAACGTTTCCTGAAATCCATATATATCGTCATTTTCAGAATTATTTCGTTATTCATGTCGTTGAAAACTTTCAGTTGATTTAACTATGCGCATCATTTGAGAAACTACTACTAAGATAACTGATTTTAGAGAAAAATACGGCTATGAACAAATATTACGAAATGTGTTCAAAGAAAGAATTAGAGGGTTGACTTTAAAAACATTAGAGGCTAGCTACTAAACGTGTAATATACATTTCTGTTGATGGATTTGAAGATGTATGTTGATAATCTACGTACAAAAAAAACAATTTAAATTTACTTAGAAACTCTACTTGTACGATAAGGTTTCTATTGTAGAACTTCAAGATATAAAGTTTCTATAAATACTCCAAGCTTGAAGTA